ACTGATGCTGCTACTTTTGCTATTGATTTATCTTCTTTTCATTTGAGTCCAGAGTCATCTAATTTTTATTTATAACATTCTCGTCTTGGTCATGTTTCTTATTCTCGTTTAAAATTTTTAGCTTCGACTAGTAGTTTGGGTAGTTTAGAAAGTCATGACATTTCTAATTGTAGTGGATGCAAGTTAGCTAAATTTAGTACATTGTCGTTCAATAAAAGTGTTACTTATCCTCTTGTACCATTTGATCTTGTTCACTCTGAAATATGGGGACCGGCTCCTATTCCTACACAAGGAGGGTCCAAATATTATGTTTCATTTATTGATGATTACACAAAGGTACTATTGGATATTTTTAATGAAACGTCGGTCTGAATTCTTTTCCATCTTCACTACTTTTTGTAACATGGTAAACACTTCATATTCTGTAGTTATTAAATGTTTTCGATGTGATCAGAGAGATGAATATACTCTTACTTCTTTTCATAAATTGTTAAAATCAGATAGTACACTTTATTAATCCTCTTGCATTGACACACCCAGCAAAATGGTGTTGCCAGACAAAAACACCGTCACATTCTAGAGACAGCACGTTCCATTCTATTATCAACACATGTTCCCAGCTCATTTTGGGGGAAAGCAATTTTAACAACAGTTCATTTGATCAACACCATTCCTACTATTCTCACCTCTGGAGTTTCTCCATTTGAAAAGTTATGTGATAAGCCGCCTAACTATTTTTCTTTACGTGTGTTTGGTTGTACCTACTTTGTTTTGCTCCCTAATGTTCTTCGTACCAAATTCTCTGCTCATTTAGCTTTATATGTATTTCTAGGATATGGTGAGGGTCAAAAAAGGCATCGTTAGTATAATCCCATCACCCACAAACCTTATGTTTCTCGTCATGTTATTTTTATGAAGCATATTCTCTGCTTTTTAATTTCATCCAGTTCTTCCTCATTGAATAAGTCTAACCTACTATACATTGATCCTTTCCCTACTAATGTTCCTCGTGACACATATGTTGGTGATTTACCTATGTCAGATCCTTCCTCTTCTAAGTCGACTATCCTTCGTCCCCCTATTGTGCATATATATGTTCACAGGACTCCAATTATCTCATCTCTGAATGCAGTGCCTCCCCTTTCTCCTCCGGCCACCCAATCAAGTTCAAACACTATGGATCATACCTCACACTATCCTCAGCGCTCTCGTAAATGTCCAAACAGGTTTAGTTGGAGTAATACTTGTTATTCTTCTGACTTCTATTCTTTCCTTACTTATATTCATTCTCTATCTGAACCCACCACCTACAAGGAGGCTTACTTGATCCACTTTGGAAACAGGCTATGGTTGAAGAGTTGTCTGTCTTACACAAGACCTAAGCTTGGGAGCTAGTGTCTCTACTGCCTGGTAAACGCTCAATTGGTTATAAATGAGTTTATAAGATAAAACCAAGTCGGATGGTTCTGTGAAACGACATAAAGCTCGATTAGTAGCCCAGGGGGTTTATTTAATAATATGGTTTAGACTATGATGAGACTTTTGTTCTTGTTACCAAGATGACTATTGTTCGCACCGTGATTGCAGTTGCTGTCATTCGACAATAGAGTTTGTCTCAAATAGATGTGAAAAATGTATTTCTACATGTAGATTTAACTGAAAAGGTTTTTATGACACCTTCCCCCAGATTGTCTTATAGTTCTGATCAAGTATGTCGACTTTATCATATCTTATATGATCTTAAACAGGCTCCGAAGGCATAGTTTGCTAAATTTTTTTCGATTATTTGTGATTTGGATTTTTGCACCAATGACCATGATTTTGCCCTCTTTTTACAATCTACTTCCTCCGACTCTATTATTCTTTTACTATATATTGATGATATGATTATTACGGGTGATAATGCTGCTAGTATATGCTTATTGAAAACTCAGTTACTAGATTATTTTGAGATAAAGGATTTGGGACAGCTTAGGTATTTCTTAGGCATTGAGATTGTATCCTCTCCTATAAGTTATCTTCTTTCTCAATCCAAGTATGTCTTTGACATTATTCACCGAGCTTGCTTATCAAATAATCAAACAGTTGAAACACCTTTAGAGCTCAATGTTACTATTCTTCGTCTGATAGTACTCCTTTGTCTGACCCAACTCTCTATCGCATTATTGTTGGAAGTTTAGTATATCTTACGATCACTCGTCCAAATATTTCTTATGTTGTTCACATTGTGAGTCAGTTTATTACCTCACCCACCACCGTTCACTGGGCTACTATTCTTCAATTTCTTCGATATCGTTGTGGTACTTTACATCAGAGTTTACTATTTTCTCACTCTTCATCTATGGAACTCAGGGCTTACTCTGATGCTGACTAGGCGGGTGACTCTATGGATCGCAAGTCCATCACTAATTTTTGCCTTTTTCTTGGGGATTCTCTTATTTTCTGGAAAAGCAAAAAATAAATTGTGGTTGCTCGTTCTTTTGCTGAAGCTGAATATCGTGCTATAGCATCTATTACATTTGAAATAATTTGGTTACGATGGCTCCTTGCTAATCTTGGCATTTTGATATCTTCTTCTACTCCTATGTTCTGCGACAACACCAGTGCTATTCAGATTGCTCATAACTTGATCTTCCATGAGCGCATAAAGCATATTGAGATTGATTGTCACTTTGTGCACCATCATTTGAAGCAAGGCACCATCACTCTCCCATTTCTTCCTTCCACAATGCAAATAGCAAATTTTTTTACAAAGTCTCACACCATAGCATGTTTTCGATTTCTTCTTGACAAACTCTTGATATTTTTGCCACATTATAAGTTTGAGAGGGGGTGTTAGAATATTAATAATATGAGTAGTTTAGGCATTTTCTTTATGTTTGTTGCCCTACTATATCAGGGTTACTTTGTGTATTTCTAGGTTTAAGATGTTGATTACAAACTTGCTTTCAGTCTAATAATATATTCATTTTTTCTCTTCTCTATTCTCATTGATAAATTCTATCATGAATTACGTTGACTGAATTCACCCCTAGATTAACCCACCATCTAAGATTATTCAGCCGACTCTTCCCGAGTCTACCTTACTATCTGAGATTGATCCGATTGCTTCCCCGAGCATCGCACACCTCCAAAGCCTAGTCCTAGACATTCTACCATAGTTTCTCGTCCTCATAATTGGTACGGTTTTCATACTTCTCTTAATGCTACTTTATCTTCTACTCTTATTCCTTACATGGTACTTCGAGGCTGTCAAACATGAATGTTGGGAGAAGACAATAGATGAGGAACTTCGGGCTCTTCAAGAGAATCATACTTGGGACATTGTTCCTTGCCCTTCTACTGTTAAAAGTCATTGGCTGTAAATGGGTTTATTCAATTAAGCTTTGCTCTGATGGGACTTTGGATCGCTATAAGGCACATTTGGTTGCACTTGGTAACAGAAGGAATATGGAGTGGACTATGAGAAAACATTTGGTCTGGCGACAAATATGACTACGGTTCGTACTGTTCTTTCCACTACTGCTTCCTAAGGCTAGCCACTTCACCAAATGGACATAAAAAATAATTTTCTTCATGGTTATTTCAAGGAGGATATTTAAATGGCACCTCCACTGGGTTTGTTCTCCTCTCATTCTTCAAACGTGTGCAAGATGAAGCGGTCTTTCTATGGCTTGAAACACGCTCCTCAATATTGGTTTGAAAAATTTTGGTCTACCTTGATTTACTTCTCATTTGTGCAGAGCAATATGACTCCTCTCTGTTTCTTTGCAAGACCTCTATCGGTATTGTCCTACTTGTTTACGTGAATGATATTGTCATTACCGAAACAGATTCCTTATTGATTACCTAACTCCAGCAGCATCTTCAGAATTCCTTTCATATGAAGGATCTTAGTCCTCTTACGTATTTTGTAGGATTGGAAGTTCATACCGATTCTTCGGGTATATTTGTGAATCAACACAAATATATACATGATTTAATTGCTTTGGCTGGCCTTCAAGATTGTACTTCAATGGATAGTCCTCTGAAAGTAAATGTGAATCTGTTGTGAGGAGGGTGATCTCCTTCCTGATCCTACCATGTTTCGACAGTTGGTTGGTAGCTTGAACTACTTGACTATTACACAGCCCGAAATCTTTTTTGCAATCCAACAGGTTAGTTAGTTTATACAAACTCCACGTCATCTTCATTTAGTTGTTTGTCTTATCATTCGGTTATCTCTGTGGATCTCCGAGTCATGGATTGTTCTTTCTTGCTAGTTCTCCCCTTCACCTTACTGGTTTTAGTGATGCTAATTGAGCTAGATGTCTACATATTAGTCATTCTGTTACAGGTTGGTATATGTTTCTTGACAATTCCTTGATATCCTAGAAGAGTAAAAAGTAAGCTCGTGTTTCCAAATCCTCGATTGAATCTGAATATCGTGCTGTTTGCTCAAAGATTGTTTGGCTTCGTGGGCTCCTGGCTGTGCTTGGCTTCTCTCATTATGATCCTACTCCTCTGCACGCTGACAACACGAGTGCAATTCAAATTGCTTCTAACCCTGTTTATCATGAGCATACGAAGCATATTAAAGTGGATTGTCACTCTATTCGGGACGTCGTGGATACTCGTGTCATCTCCCTTCCACATGTTTCCACCAATCTTCAAATAGCTGATGTGTTTACCAAGGCTGTGACTCGACAACGCCATTATTTTCTTGTAGGCAAATTGATGCTTCTTGATTGACAAAAACCAATTTGAGGGGGGATGTCACCAGGATATGTATGTTGGCATGGCCAGCACATATCTACCCATATTTACTATATATATTTATTGTATATTATCTGTCAATATTTGTAATTAGTAAGGAATATTGCATTCCATATTTAGTTAGATTAGGAGCTTTAAATAGCAAATTTTTAGGCCTGTATTATGCTCTAGAGTTTCTATTTAATGGAGGAAACTCTCTCATTGAGAAGCATTCAGTATCATTGACAGTGATTGCCTAGCACTAATCAGAACCAACCAAGCACAAATATAGACCATTGGAAGAACTCGGAGGAGGGCCATTGGAGGACTACCAATGATTGCCCAGCACAAAGAAGCCATAAGAAGATCATCGCAAAACATAGTCCAACACAACCAGTTGTCGAAACTAGCTCGGCGGAGTTCTCAAATGGCACCAAAGTCCACTACTAGCGAACGAAAAACATAACCAAGCACTTTCTACCACAAACAACTCAACCACAGCCTCAAACACAATGGGAGAAGACCGTAGGAGCCTAGCAACAACCACACAATGACTATTGATGTCCAAAAAACACAATAAACACCCAAAAACCACCAAGTTGTGCACAGAACTTCCCCTTAGTTCTTAGGTGGACTAATCGGCACCCATAGTGTGCATTAAAGAAGGTAAGGGTGTTTACCCTACCCTATGAATAGAAAATATGGTATTCCATCTTCCTACCTGATACTTTGTAGAATAATTTTTTTTTTGTCTATACCCTATCCAATCAAGTGTAGTATTCCTACCTGACTTCCAACCAAATTAATCGAGTAGTAAGTTGAGTAGAAAATCGGGTGCACACTTTTGTAGTTATTAATTTTTGGATCATTTTAACAATTCAATTAAATAACATGCACTAATTTAACAACACAATAAACCAATAACACTAAAACCTAAAATAATTAAAACAACAATTATAATAAAACAAAAGAAAACATAAATATCAATCCATCATAATTGTTGAACAAATACAATAATAATTATTTAAGTTTAAACCATATGGTTAGAGAATTAGTGTCTATAAGATTAGAGAATTAGTGTTTATAAATTAGTTTATATATATATATATATGGGTAAGATAGGGTAGTAATACGGAAATTAATAGCTATTCTGCATTCCTACCCAATTTAATCAGAAGACCAAAAACCCTTTCGCATTCCTACCCGATTTTTTTGCCTAGCTGTTCAATAAGGTCCGGCAAGGTCGAGTAGAGTAAGAAATTGAGGCTAATCAAAAATTTAAACACCCCTAAAAACAGGTATATCATTCTGAATCTTCACCAAACAAAATATCAAAATATATGACCCAAAATTTCAAAAAAATACATTCAAAAAATTAAAAAGTACCTCATATGGCTTCAAAAATATCCAAAAAAAGCACCATCAAACTCAGGAGGCAAAACCAATCCATAACATATCAGTTTCAATCAACTCTAGCGCAACAATGTCATTATTTCAACGATGATGTCATCATTTTGACATATTAGCAAATTCCCCTCCAAGTGTTCTAGTAACTCCAAAGTTTAGATAAATTGCTCTAATACCAAGATAAAATCTAAATCTAGGGTTTAGAGTGGGAAAGAGGCAAAAGAAGAAAGAAGATTAGGAAATAAAGTTAAGGAGAGTGAACATTAATTAACCTCTCCACTCATTACCCGTATTTATATTAATTCATAATAACGTGAGGATTACGATAATACCCTTAATTTAAAATAACCTAACATTTTACAGAAACATTTCGAACCATTGCTGGTTATAAGTTGTGACAAAGCCTAATTAAGACCTGGTGGCATGCGCAATTTTAAATTTAGTCAAATGATTCTTCATAATTTTCAAGAAATTTTTAAATTGGTCCCTAAAGCATTAACATTTGAGCTGACAAACCCACTTCAATTTTCTCCACCATTGATTGTAGGTTCAACCAACCTATCTATTGGAAACCACATGTGAGCACATGAAAAGCAATCCAACATCGAGAAAACAAAGAAACTAAGACAATTTTTTACACAAAGATTAAACCAAACAACCTTAAGCTTGAACTTAAGTTTTTGAGTAAAGTTAAGTCACACAATACATGTGTCCCGATAGTATTGAAGTAGTTTTGTCACAAATAAAATAAAACAAGGATGCTAAAGCTTTGTTGTTCATTAAGCAAGCTCTAGATCATATGTTTTCCCAAGGATAATTGGAGCAAAAACATCCAAACAAGCATGGGGCCAATGCATAATGAATATCATCGATCAAGTCAAGTAATTAGCTCAAGACTACAAACTTTTCGTCATGGATTTGAAATGACAGTGAAAAAAATCCGAACTTATTCATGATTATTTCAATAGAGTTACTTTTTTGAAGTATCTAACTGAGAATTTAATTAACCAAAAAATTACATAAAAGGTTTTGTTAGGATGTCTAACTCCAAAGATCAACAATATTGTTGTTGCAATTGAGAAAGACCCCCATTCCTTTTACTCATTTAAAAGGTTCTTTAAAAATGCATGAAGGAAGGCTTTAGATCTATTGAAAAACGTTTGTGGAGCAAGCCTTCTATTTAAGGCAAAATTCTAAAGAGGTAGAAATCAAGATTTCAAAGCAAGGAAAGAAACCGGTTCACGAATGAGTAGAGTTACTACAACAAAAGTAATGCCAAATACTTTTATTGTTAAAAGAAAGGTAAATTGAACAAGATTGCATGTGCATCAATGAAAATCCTAACATTCCTTATTACTCTTGTAAGAAATCGGTGAAAGAGAAAAATGAACGCCGGTAGTATCTCATGAATAAAAGATTGATTATGTTGATGAAACCTAGGCCATTAGGTTGTAACTTAGCTCATTGCCATTATAAAGAATGTTTGGTATGTAGACAATGGTGGTGTTAGGAAACACAAATACGAACACAGATATTGTATTCGATATAACACAAGACTAACAGGAGATACGAAACAGTTTAAAAATATGACACAGGTATGACAAGGATACAATTAATTAAAGTAATATTATATATGTATTAGATAATAATAGGATTGTGATATATTAAAAACAAAACACATTTTAGACAATATAATAATGAGATTTACCAAATATTAATTCTTTGATTAAAATTGCAATAGATCAAAATAAATAATCAATATATTCATCAAACACTATTACATCTGTTACCATTCATTGTCATAAATTGCATAACAAAAACCACAAAAAGAAGATAAAGAAATTTCACACGCCGCTAAATATTAAGAGTCGTGAAGTTAATAAAATCTGTGTTTGTTTCCTATTTGTGTCCGACGAAATTCGCTATTCAGGATACTTCTAGTCACGTCCAACGCGTATTTCTACACTGCCCCAACACCCCTCCAAAAGTATATGTGCGTCCTAGGGTGGTAGCAATCACATGGAAGTAAGTTTATTTTTGTGAAAATTGATGAATCTATGAGATCTTAGGTCTAGATGGGAGACGATAGCCAAATTATAGTTTAAGACAAAAGAACTGGTCTTCTTGTTATCAAATTTGGTAAGAAATTGACTTGAGATGTTTTTTTTTTTTTTTTTTTTTTTATATTTGAGATGTTATGTATGTTTCAAGTCTAACTCCAAAGTTGGCTATTTAGCGACAACTAATGGAAAAGGGCTTTTATGTTCGCTTTGATGGTAATAGATGCTTGCTAATCAACAAAGAAAACAAAGGGATTCAATTTGTTTGTAAAAAATGACTGGAAACAATATTTTATTTTGTGATTTTTGTACTATCATCCGTAATTCATCATGTATTAGTTCATTTCAGAACTCTTAGTACTAGAAATATGAAGTAATAAATATTGGAGATAGAAGGATCCCAGGCACAGTGGCAGCAAAGAAATTCTTGCAAATGGATCTCATAGTTCAGTTGGGTTGACAATTTCTAGTGCTCAAAAGTTGGATAGGTCAAGGAAAATGGGAAGGGTAAATTCAAATAAACATGTGTAGAAGGAAGTTGTTTCTTTGCTAGAGACAAGTCCATAAAATTTTGAAAAGTTGGAAATTCAAGTTGACAACTCAAACAAGGTGTGAAGCTACCAAAGTTTCAATTTCATGTGTCAATTCACTAATTCAGGGAAAGAGAAATATCAAGCTTCTATGGTCTCAATTATAAAAATCAATAGGGAGTATGTTGGAATTCAAATCAAACTATGCTTAAACACAGCATCTATTCCTGAATTTTTTCTCATGTTTAACGTGTTTTGTATTGGAAAGTTAATGTACTCCGATTCTGTTTTCTAGGATTTAGCTAAGCTTTTTATTTTCTCTGTCAATGTGCTTTGTACGGTAGCCTTTCCTATCTAAAGAGAGGTTCTCTAATCAGATTTGTGTTTTAAAAAAAAGAAAAGGTAAAATTATGCAGCTTCTCTGTTCAAGATTTGTCTCCTGACACTTGTTCATACATTCATTTTATCATTCAATCTTTCTATTTGAAATAAGCCCCAAGCCCATAAATGAAAAAAAAAATTAATTACCATTTCTTGTATCCAAGGAAAAAAAAAACTATATTATGCAATAAATAACAAAAATAAAGTCAAGAAATTAGTATTTGGAGGTTACTACATTGGTAGCATCGACACCATCGATGACGAAATTGGATTTATCATCTCCAGAATGAGAAGATTCGCTGATCCGCTTCACAGTGACTGGGATTATTCCATGAGCTTCACGACTCTGCGATAAAAACGAAATAAAGTGTTTATAAAAGGCAAAATCCGACAGAACCTCTTTAGTTGCCAGATTAAGAACAGAATCTTACTTTGGCAGAAGAAAGACCGGAGTCGGTGGAATGAGTTGACTGAGAGCTGCCATCGAACTGACTCGAAAACATCTGTGTGAATGTTAAACTGGTGTGTGTGTGTGTGCGCGCGCGTGAGAGAGAGATTGGAATGAAGGGATGGAGATTTCCCCGGGGCGCGGGGAGTTTTACGTGAAGATGGTGGAATTTCCCGCCAATTTGCTTTGCTTTGCCGCTTTGTACGTCTGTGCTAGGCGGAGATGGCCTAAAGATAAATAATTAATATTATTCGGATTTAAAAATCGGATAATTTGTAAGACTTCGTTAAAGGGGTATAATTCGGGTGGATTCTGATGTCAATTCTGAGTCAATCTTACATATATGTAATTTTTAATTTTAATATTAACTCCACCTCAATCTGAATACTGCCAAATTTTATTCGGACAAGTTTAGGTTAAATTCGGATTACTTAATTCGAATTAATTTTGAGTTAAAAAATTAGGTTAACTTGAGATACTTAATTCGAGTTGATTTTTTGAAGTGTATATATTGATTTTTTCATATGTAAGTCTTTCAAGTGACTTGAGATGAAGGGCGAGACGGAAATAAAGAAAGAGAGAGTAAGAGAGGAATGAGTGACAAGTGAGAAAGGGAGACTGAGAGAGGGAGGAGTGAGAGAAAGATCTGAGAGTGATGGAGTGCAGATGTGAAGACCTGAAGTGAAGTAAAAGTCTTGACTCTAAAGAGTAAAAATAAATCCTAACGTTAGGTAAATATCTATATAATAAAGTATAACGATTTTGAATTTTATAAACAAATAATGGCCTAAATCGTTTCGTAACCAAAAAAGTTATCATTTAATGGGCGGCGTTATCTAAAACTATTTTAAACTATTGACGTTTCAGATCGTTTTGATGTGACGTACCACATTAGCCATTTTGAAATATTTTTGCTGCTCAAAATTTTTAGTATCCAAAATGGACACCTCTGTATTGAATTCACCTCTCAATTTTGCCCAAAATCAATGTCATCTAAATATAAAATTTTATCCAAATCTAAAATTAACGTCATATTTAAATTTTGAGCCCCCTCATCCTACTCTAAATAATATCCTTTTCATATCGGAAAAATTATTTTTTCACATCATATTTTCAAAATATTCAATATAATGATTATATTATATTATTTATTCTATTTTTCTTTATCACTTGTATCAATCTTGATCTTTTCAACCAATTATTTATGACATCCGTTTTCTCCTCTGCCTCCCTCTTTTCTCTCATCGTTCTTCTTCTCGATCTTTGCCCCCAACGAATAGCCACTCAGGTTCGACCCAATAGTATGAGAAAAAAAACATGGGTTTTATGTCTCAAATTTTTAAAAAATCTCATAATTTTAGGTACACCACTAGTTCATAAAATAAAAAAAAATTCATTAAATTTTAAACCCTACAAAAAAATTTAAAAAAATTAAATCCAATCAAAATTTTTATTGCAATAATTTGGCCCTATAATTCAATCAATAACATTAAAAACTTAGAAATTAAAAAAAAATACTCAAAAGTCAACTCATATTTACTCTCATCCACTTTCTCTCTCTGTCTCTCTCCCTCTCCATCTAGTAAAAAAAATAAAAAACAAAAATAAAGTGGAAATTAAACATTCTCTCTCCTTCTCTATGGTAAAAAATAAAAATAAAAGTTGAAAAATCATTCTCGACAATATTAACACATCCTTCTTTTGTCTCCCTCTCACATAGAAAATTTAAAATAAATTAATTTTTTTTAAATAATACTAAAAATAAAAAAACCTCCATATAATTTTTTGTTTTAGGTTTCAAATTGGCTTAAGCCGCCCTTGTAGCCATCGACGCTTCTTTCTCTTCTCTATTTTTCTTTTCTCATCTAAACCCTCTCTCTTCACAACAACACTGTGGAGGCACCATCGAAGACACAATGATTAACCATCGACAATCTTGAAGCCTCACCCAGTATCCCTTCCCTCTATCTCTCTCTCTACGTATGTCTCATCTTACCTCAACTACCACTTCCTTCCCTCTCCCTTTCTACTACTAAAACTCATAACAGCACACCAAACACCATATATATCCAAAGTCATACTCTTACCTGCAGCCAACTAGCACCTCCCCCCCTTTCCTTCCCAATCCCCGTCACTATCACCGAAAACCTCCCAACCCAACAAACATTTCCCCATCCCCACGCGCACACATTGCTACTGAAACTCACCACAATCACTGAAACACCACGTGTTTGTATTATTACTTAAATGAGCAGGCCAAACATTTTTCTTATTATTTAGCAAACTTACTTTGTCTGCTGCAACGACCATTTACAGCACGACGGTGCAACTCCAGCGATCAGCAATGGCACAACTCCGGCAGGTTGATGATCTCCTAAAAAAGTAGTTTATTGGTTTGAGTTTGTTTTTTTTTTTAGTTTTATATATTTTTAGGTTATTTACAATCTTTTTTGTACATTCTAGGATATGAAGACCTAATATTGGTTCAAATTAAGTGGTCTTTTGTGAACAATTACGAGTTCATATATTTCTGATGTTTTTTTTGTCCAAAAACTACAAAGAATTCCGGAAGAACCAAGGAGTCCTTTTAATCAAGTCAAGCCTTTTGTTTTTTTGGCACATTTGAGAACAGTTTGCATAAAAATAAAGCAAAAATGACAAGAATCACTATGAGGTGTATGCACGATGTTTAGTGAGTTCTCCATACTACTATTCAAGATTCTTTAGGTTGTAATATCTATGTTTTCAAATATTATTATCTCTTAAAAATTTTAAATCTTGACTTCAATTTAATGTTTTGTACACATGCATAAATTTTGCAAGTTATACACTATTCATGCAGTATACTGAAATTCAACTTAATTTGTTGTTAATACGTCTTATAGTTCATTTGATTTGTTATCAATTTGATACATTATTTGACTTGGATTGTAGTCAAAAGTGAGTTTGCCTTCTCGAAGCGGTGCCGATGATTGTTGAAGATATGTTTTAGGTTTGGAAATGGTAATGATGATTGTCTTAGTGGTGATAATTAATGTAACGCCCCAAAAATTACCCTGGATGACATTACCATTTAAAAACATTTATGTCATGAGAGCAACTAAATAAATCCATCATTAAAGAACATCCTTAATTTAACAAAATTTGGGTAGAGTCTCCTTTGTATAAGGAGCTCTACCCCAAATACAACCTATACAATTATACTACATTGACCACATCGGGTCCATTTACCCATCAAATAATAAATTTTCATTCACCATATGTAATATCTATAATATCATCTCAAAAGAATAGGTCAAGCTATGACAATTACATTATAAAAAAATTATACTCAAACTTAGTAGTGGAATAAACAAAATACTAGACTATACATGATCGTAAATAAATTCCCTAGTCTAGCACAAAAATAAACTATAGCTCTAAATGTCTACCTCAGGATCTAGGTTCTCCTCTGGTGGAACCTCCCAATTTCCTGGCTCGTCAACGCCGGGATCTTCCTTTAGAGCGAAATCTGAAAATAAAACATTATTGGTAAGGGGTGAGCACTAAGCTCTGTAGAAAAATCCTCCCAAACTCTAACAAGATTTGGAAAATGTAGAAAATGATTGGTCTCATTTCACAAATAGCAGACGTAAATTTTGGAAAAAAACATGACATTTTCAAAGATCTCAAGTTTATACATTAACAATAATTAAGTGGAAGAGTAAGTCAATCTCACCATAAATAATCATTCCAGAGAGTAATTATTTTCACAACAATTTCTAAGATAATCATATCCAAACGATAACGCAATAAAAAAATAACCACAATGTATCTCAAGTCTGATGTAAGATAATCGCATGAATAAACACATCGAGAATATCATGGCCCACACACACACAAATCTTCGCAAGGATATCAAACTTTGGAAAGGGCGGCTACTGATGCATTGTCTCATACCAATGCACCGGCAATAACAAATTCGACCTAGGCATAGTATACTAATCCTCTAACCCGGCACCCATGAGCTAATAGTGGTTTGGTCCTCGCAAGACCAACCCCACTACGAGTGGTAGAAAGAGTTTAAACCTGCACAAAGTAAGAACCACACACATCTACCCACTCTACGATACTTGGTCAATGGACACCCATGATCATTTAAACACCTCTATGAGATACAATCACCAACAATTTCTCAATAAAAGTTCATAATTTTTAAAACCCACAAATTCCATAGGCATTTCTCAAACCACATTAAATCTCAAAAATCCTCAATTTTCTCCCATGTGATTCCAATAGAACAATTTAAGAAAAATATGTAAGAGATCATCAAACATATATTTTTATTGTTCAAACAAAGCACTATGGTTTTAAAATCAATAATTAAGGAATATCAAGAAGAAAAATCTCTATTTCTTAAAAGAAACAAGGGTTTTGAGATTTCAAGGATTTCATGGCTATCAAACAATAACTTCATTTCAAACATGATAATATTTGCAAGAGTATCAAGAAATAATGATTTCATAACATATATCTAAGATTTAGAAGTAACATATACATAGATATAAACCCTAGCCTCAATGTAGGAGAATGAAAAGAATTCCTACCTAAAATCAATAATTTCAAGTGAAAGTTCAAGCCCTATAGACCTCCTTTCACCTCTCCTTCATTTCCTTTCCTTTACCTTCTTCTAGGGTTCCAAGAGGTGTTGGGTGAGAGTGGAGTGAAATAAATAAGGTTAAAGGGGCTGAAATCAGTGTTTTAAACACAAACAACCCCAATTTTTACTGTTCACAGCCGTTTTGGGTTTCTCAAAAATTACGATTTTACCACTAAGATCTCCAATTTGATCCATATGACTACTATAAGGTTTTTCGACGTACCGGATTCATTTTTAATGTTATTTAACCTAAAAATATTTATTTTTATGATTTATTTCATAATTAAAATAAATTTACACTCGAGACATTAAAATTACTATTTTATTTCTCTCTAGTATTTATTCTTACAGTTTCAGTATATATGATTTATTCTTACGTCATTACATATATAAGAATCACTAAACAAGTACATTACTATATAATATAAATATGTGACGGTTTACACCTTCAAAGTCTAATAAGAAAGCACAATACTTTACTATCCAAAGAACACTACAATGTAAATTTTTTTTATCAACTTCGAAGAATAAACTTATTTGACTTAGGTAGTTCTAGTATGTGTGATCGATATGGCTGAAAAGATATACAAGTTAGGGTTCTAACAAAAATAACGGTGCACAATTTGAACTTTTCAACAAAGAGTTATGATCAAATTGGTAAAAGGTAGTCTGCCGAACTGTTTGGTTATTCTATACTTGTTTGGAGCCTAAATATACTTATTATTCTTATATTTTGATTTATGATGTAAATTGAAACGTTAAATGCAAAACGAAGCTAATTGGACGATTGTTGATAGTTTAAACAGGTGGGGGTTTAAAATTAATATCGAAGTTGTGATGAATGGGTAGTGGTGGGGTAAAGCTCTTTGGACAAATTTGTGTAACATAAAATTAACTTATTTGATGAAATTTGGTTTGAATTGAATAGCAAAATTAATTTAAATAGTTGAATTGGTTATATTTAATTTTAATTTGAGCACAAAATTTGATTAGTTATCAAAATTTAGGCGAAGTGGTAATAATGGTAATGGTGGTATTAGTGGTAATGGTTTTGTATAATTGTATATTTAAAGGATTTTGCTTAAATTCTTTATGGGACGCAAATTTTATTTATTCAGTTTCTTAATTTGATAATGTTAGCGTAGTTGAATTTAATCGTAGAAATTTGATCAAGACCAGTTTTCATTGATGGCGTGCTATCTCTCCACGAATATGTTTTATTATGATATATGAAAAACATATATTACTTGATAAGATTTTAACATCTTCATATTTTTGTAGGGTCTTATTTTTAGAGAGAATTTAGCCGTAATTATTTGGAAGAATAGAAAAAAAATATTGTATTTAGAGGCACAAGCATTCTCTAAACTATCAACATACTATAAAGATAAAAAATGTAATTTAACCCGATAGAGTATTAAAAATTTAATTTTAATTGATTTAGGTTTTGTTGATGTTGTTTATTATATTTTTTGTTGCAATTCATCTCTTAATCTTTCTTCATTGCTTTTATCTTATATTTATTTGATTGCTTTCGTACCATAATGATTTTTAAATTTACTACCATTTTGATATCAATTAATAATTAAACAGCCATTGAACAATGTTTAAGATTGTTTTGATTTGTATTCTATCAAATTTTTTTTAAAAAAATAATGGCCCCATGTTATATTTATCAATGTTTTTTTTAGTTTTTATAATTGGCAATTTTTTATGACATACAGTCTTAATGCACATGAATTTGGTTTTGATTTTTTTATTTGTTACATCGTACTTTCGGGCATGACAATTGCTAGTATTTATATATTTATGTATATTTGAGTTTAATCCGATTTAATAATTGGGGTTCAACCTGATTTAATATTGGGGTTGAACCCGACAACTTGAGGCCTCAACCCGAGACTTATCCAAATTCAATTCGAGTTAAATTTTTTGCCAAAATCCAATCCAAGTATTAAAAATTATAATCCAAACCCCGTTTTTATCGGGTTGAACTTGAGTTGAATCTGAATTGACCCACCTAAGTTGTACTCTTGTTGAATCAACTTCAACTTTCAATATGGTCATTATTAATCAATATAGTTAATTGGGTTAATAAATTAGAATAACAAATTATATATGTAAGCTCTCTAATTCTAAAATAATTAAAGGATCCTTCAATTTATTTATCGTACTAAAATCTATCCGCATTAATAAATTTTAAGATATATCAAATTTTTTAACTTTCATAAATTGTTACCATGCAGAATAAATTGAAGCATATTCTAATTATTTTATAATTATAGAGGAGTCAAACCTCGAATGATCTAATTTATTACCTTCTTCTTTTAATTTGTGAGTAAATCTCATAAATACATTTTATACTATAACTTTTATTTTAAATTGTCTCTTTAATTTTAATTTTTTTTTTCGATATATAAAATGATATCAAATTGATCGTAGACGAAAAGTTATAGTGATGAACATACCTTATTCTGATGTTCGAAACACCTGTAATTAACGTGTTTTAATTTACGATGAAAAACTAAATAACAATCTAGGTTAAATTTATATTACTATTAATTTATAACATTGAAAATATAACTTGAGATTTTGAATATTTAAGGTATAAATTAAACATTAAAACATATTTCGATAAATAAGATTAACGGATCATTAGTGCTAGAGTTTTTTCTCTATCCTTCCCACCTCCCCTTCTTTTCGGTGGCAAATGTTAGAGGATTGAGTTGGACCCTAATAAATAATTTTGGTAGTGAGAGGATCGAAATCCCATACCGGTTTGTGCGCTCCTAACCACTTCCCCGGTCGCCCTCCAATTGACATTCAGCTAACTTACGGGACTCAAATTTTATCTCTCTCTCTCTCTCTCTCTCTCTCTTTCTCTTTCTCTGTCTCCGTCTCTCTCAAACTCAGGCAGTACAATTGGCGAAGTTTTCATTTTCACCCATGGAACTACTATGTACAGATCACATATACAACTCAGGCAGTCGGTCTTTGTTCACTCACATCCGTTTTGTGGCATCTTCAAGTTACAGCCGTGCCGCTATACGGCCAAAAAAGAAGCTTTTCAGGACCTCGAAGTCACTGAAAATATCGAGTTTTGCGGCGTCCGTAAACAGTAGCAGTAAGAGAAGAATTGAAGCCGAAGCACTAGAATTGCCAAAGCCTAGCACAAGCACTGCTTTAGAACAACTTGACATCGAACGTGGCGTCTGTGTTCCATTTCGCAAGTACACTCCCGAATCGGTACGATTTCACAAAACTTCTTTATGTCTGCAATAAATTCGCTTTAAGTTGTGCAATTGCAAATAATTCCAAGATGTTGCACAACTGTATTCGTTAAGAAGTGTGAGCTTGTGGGTTCAAACTTGTTGCTAGGTTGGGACCAATATAGCTTTCGTAGCATGACCAGGTTGGTTATGACCCTTTATTGCTAACAATTTTTTGTCTTCTTGTCCTACGGTATTCTAACATTTTATTATGTGTTAGATAATCCAAGTTGCAATGATTTGTTATATATAACCATTCAGTTAAATTTGTGCACACTATGCCAAAGGTGCAGTCGCAAAAGAGTTGAGTGGCATCGGTGACGTTATAGCTTCAAATTTAAGGGCAATCGGTTTATACAAACAAAACTAAAGGATAAATCTTTACCAAGTTTATGCCTCCAAGTATTCTTGACGGTTAAGGGACCAAACTGGGTGATTATCCTTTGATTCAGTTCAAAATGATGCTGACATTTTTTTCTTTTTATGACACTAAAATATTACAACAGTTTGTAATGTATATAGTAAATTCAATCGATTTGCTCAAATAGTACCAAGGATGCAAAGGTGTCAGACTAGCAATCATTGTGGGTTTGAAATATGACGATAGCCACCTTTTGCATATTACATCAAATGTATGGTAGTCCATCTATGGCAACACCCTTGATTAATGGGGACCGAGCTGCATAATGACCCTGTAATTCGTTCAGTTTGAATTTGTAACATTTTTTTTCCAGTTCTTCTATGGAGTCTTAACTTTTTTCATTGTTGTGTTATCCAATATAACATTTACAACAGTTAACTGAAAAGGGTCAATTTAGTTGAATTTGCGCAAATAATAACAAATATCACAGATGAAATTGCAAAAAAAAAAAAAAATGTTGACCTGGTGGCCATGAGGTTATATGTTTGAATGCGAAAGCAACCACTTCCTTCAAATAATGCCAAGGTTTAAGTGTTGTCTAGTCTACCCTCCTCGGTCAGTGGAAACCAAAATGGGTAGTGACCCTTTTATTCAGTTCAGTTTTAATTCTACCTTCTTCTTTTTTTTCCCCTCTTATCATTGTGTTATGTATAAGGATTGTGATTTTTTTTTGTTTAGGTGAGGAATAAGGTATTGGAATCGAGAGGGGCAATATTGTCCCTACTTGGTCGTGGAGTTGAGATAGTTTGGAATTTGGGACTGTATTGGTCTGCTTTGATGTATGATTGCTTGGTGGGTCGTGATTATGAAGTCGTTCCTTTTCGCGCACGGCAGCTTAGGAATCTCTTGTGTGATTTGGGATCTTCTTTTATCAAAGCTGGACAGGTTTTGCAACATTTCCATATTTTAATTATTCGATTAATATTGTTGTTGATTTCCTTTGTAATCGTTATAATATTTTGTTCATTTGATGCTTTATATAAACTTTAGTGGAAAACATGCCTTTTTGGTCTTTATTGCCTTATTGATTATATGCTTTGCATGTACTCCTCTGTTCTTTTTCGCTGGGAAAAATTAGTGCAACCAGACCCCACGATAAGTACAATTACAAAAAAATATTGCTAGCCAAAGAAAGGATGAGGGTTCTAAACTTGGTTTATCTGGTGGACTTTTAACTGCTTTATTTTTTGGTCAATATTTCAAGATAAGAAACCATTTATGTGTTTCCATCTTCATAGTTCTGTATTCGTATTCATAAATTGTTCAGTTTTCTAGATCAAGCTCTGAATGGCATTATGTGTGCCTGCTCTTCTGGTCTTGCAGGTTCTTGCAAATAGACCCGATATTATCAGAGAGGATTACATGAATGAGCTTTGCATTCTTCAAGATGATGTTCCTCCTTTTCCTAATCAGGTACTAACTACTGAGTGACATCTTGTCTATGTGATGTGACATGTTTCCTTTACCATGGAATAGAACTTCTTTTCCTTTAAGGTGAGTTGTTAACAATGGTTTAGGTTGCCTTCAACATTATAGAAGAGGAACTGGGCCAACCCCTTGAAGCTATTTTCAGCAAAATTTCATCAGAGACTATAGCTGCTGCAAGTTTGGGTCAAGTTTACCGAGCTACTCTACGTGCCTCAGGGGAGGACGTTGCTATTAAGGTTTTTTAATCTTCGTTCTTGTTGGAAGTATCTTGAATTTTTAATTTGTTAACATTCTTTAAAGCCATTTGTATGATTGCACAAACATTTTATCAAAACTAGGAAAAATGAAAATGATAGCTAATGCCTGCAATGATACATTATGGACACTGTTTGCTGAAAATTGTCTCATCGATCCTTTTTAAAAAGAAAATAGTAATAAAATACCAGGAGATGACAGTTTTGAAAACTTCATATATTAAATTTTTGAAATCTCCAAGAAATGTAAGCATGCAAAGAATTAGTATTCACAACAGACTTGTATATTGATAAAGGAGCCATGTATATTGTTCTGCTACTTCTGAACACATTCGATACTTCCTAGAAGGATCCACAACTTGGATGTTAACTCTCTCTCTCAAATACATAACTGATAACTTTTGAATGCTCTTATACATTTGCCTCTTATGCCTCCAATTTTACAATGTCACTCCTCAATATAGGATTATAGTAATAGTATAATGGTTAGATAAAGCATTACAAAGGTTGCTTGATGTTTATAGGAGGAAAATCCAGGTCCTCCCTCTATACCAGTTGAAAATATAAGAGTGGGTATTGGATGTGTTTTTCTATTGCGACATAACTCCATTTATTTCTGACTTGAATCCTAATATTAATTAGAGCATTATCATATTTAAGAATTGTAAGAGATGGTGTTGTTTAATATAATTTTATTTAGTTCTCTCTTCTGTTCTGTTCACGTATCCCTCCTCATACTCAATTTTTTAAGTCATATTGGCATATTTGTGTTGTATCACGTTTGTAACTAGTATTCATGTCGATACTTGATGGTTGAGAAAACTGGCTATTTCTTCCGTTTATAGCGTTAGTATTTTGTTATTAAATATTCTCTAATGAAAATGTAATCCTAAAATCCATCTCAAGTTTATCGCTGAAGTTAGTTCACTGTGACTTGTAAAGAACAAAATTGGTTCCATTTGTGTTGTCTTGTTGGGTTAATTTTGCAGCTAGGTACATACCATAAAATGAAGCTGTTAAAGGGGCTTAATTTTCTTATTTTAGTTTCTTGAGTCTTTAATTGCCAGTGAACATGTGTAAATTTAGGTTTTGCCTCAATGGTTATTGCTGAGCTAGGTAGCAGATAAAGGGCATTTGATGCTATTCATTCTGATAAGTGACAATTGCAGGGGAATGGTTGTTCAAAAAAATAGCACCTTTGCTTTTTTATATACTAATGGGAAAAATAGATGAAGAATGACAGACTAATATCTTTCAGAACATAACTATTAACTTGATAATTGTGTCATCACTTCTTGACACCATAATTGATTCGGGTGCCATGAGCTGATGAGTCAGTCGGTCATTAATTGTATTAAGTAGTTGTACTTCTTCTAAAGGTGCTATGAACCCTATGGAAGTGATTAATTGGTGTAAATGGAATTAAGCTCCAGAGATGAATAAATAGTGAATGGAAATATATTGTCTCCCTATTTCTCCATCTTCGGTTATTTTTTCTCTTCTCCTCTTGTGAATGAAAGGCTTGGAAATCTCGGCGCACCATCCCTCTCTAATCTTCTCTCTTTTTGCTCTCAATTATTGGACACTCTCTTTCTTATTTTTTGGCAATTTGAAAAGATCAAAAAATTATGACGTCCATGCTTTGTTCAAGACATAAGAGTTCTCATAATCCTTGCTTAGGTGACATCCCATATGCATGTGTGCAATCTGTTGGGCCTAGAGAATGGAAGCCTGGACCCTTGAGTCTGTCTCATAAGTCATTTAGAACTATGCTAACGAACTCGTGTTCTGTCATGAAATGTTGGTGTAAATTAGACACACTTTAGAGGGGTTTTGGAGATCATTATTTTATTTTATTTTCAAAAACAAACAATTGACATTGAGATAGTCGTAGGGATAAAAGAGTAGCTTTGTGACAAAGCGCTAAATGTGTGGTTCATGAAATTGGAAAGGAATGAAAAAGAAAAAAGCTAGAAGATTAAAATTCCCTCTTTTTTCCGTTTATATGGCAAGCATTTTGTTCTTTTAGTGGGCTTTAATCTTATTTCTTGGTTTATTGAGGTTATGTCTCGTTCTTAGACAGGTTTTTCAAGTTTCCTGTTGATTCAATTCTGACCATTACACCTAACACATCTGATGACATATGAAGCTTTAGGAGACCCCGTCTTGGATCTAGTTGCTTGTTTGAGAATGACAAGCTTGAAGGAACTTTGAATGTTACATCTATAGGAGACAGGCTTAGACGCCTAGTAGATTATGATATAAGTTGAACCGCTAATTGTTTGTGTATTATCGTTTGCATGTGTGTGAGATCAGCCAAAGATGTCTTGTTCGAAGCGTATGCTGTAGCATCCAACCCAAAACTAAATGATAAGGAGTGGAGAGGCCTACTAGATTCCTACATTAACTTTGGACGTGTTATTTTGTAGATATGAGATAAGCTCTAACACTGCCCCTCCCTTGCACGTGGAGAGACAAACAGAAGAATGATAACAATAGTCAAGAGGCATAACAAGTGTCCCCATGACACAGACAAAGAGGGAATTAATTACAAATCGAGAGAATGGGGTCTTGCCCAAAACTTCCCTAAGCCTAGCTGTCAGACCCTAATTGACTTAGGTGGAAATGAATGTGTCTTGGTGGAATCTTGTACCAAGGCATGAAGCGAGGTAACGTATCTAAGGTGTTTGAGAAAAGGCTTCAAGCATTATGCTTCCTTGGTTCAGCTGATGTTCATTCATGTCATTTTGGAAAACCTTCTAAGAGCATATATAGGAGATGGTGATAGTTGAGGGGCACCAATGGCTTGGCAAGCCTTGTGTTCTCAATCCTTGGCACCGTTAGCAAAACAAATAGGGGAAACGCGAATAATGGTGGGACTGGAAAAGTTTGTGGGACTCGTAGCTACAAAAGATCACATGACCAAGGATGACAACATGTGGTGGATACAATTGAGGCAATGTTGGTGCATGGTTTCTCAAGGCATAGCTTGGGCTTGGCTCTATATGCTTGATTGGTTCGTGGGCAAGGCTTGACTGTGGATTTGCAAGCACGTGGCTGGGATAGATTTGCTCAATGCATGGAGCCATCAGGTTGGGACCGATTGTTGTGCATGGTGATGCAGATTATATTAAGAAATAATTAGGGATGAGAAGGGAAGAAGATGTGGATGAGAAAAGAAGGAGATGAAAATAGAGAAAGAATTTGAGTAAGAAGTAATATCAGGATTCAATATCAATAATAATCAAAGTCTATCAAAACAAATACCATATTCCCCATATATATATATATATATATATAGAGAGAGAGAGAGAGAGAGAGAGAGAGAGAGAACATAAATCCTAAAAGAATTCTAGTTACTGTACCAAAAGAATTTGTTTGGAGGACTTTGTTGGTCCCCCCAATCTGGCGATATTGTGGCTCTCTTTGTGCAGCTCTAGTTACTGTACCAAAGGTTCGAATAAGTGCGTGCACCCCAAGAATAACTCCACAAGGCTAAAACTGATCATTTTAGCAATACAAACACCAAGGCATTGCAAAATTCTACTATTGGTTCTGGCAGTGAATGCATGTAGAAAGCCAAGGTCCCTGACCGTAAGTAGTTCTTTGGCGGTCGCAATGCCAAAGAACTTGAAAATTTTTTGTGGGAGATGGGGCACTACATCAAAGCAATTTGCACCCCGGATGTTGTGGAGGTAGATCTTACAAGCATATACCTACCTGGTGTTGCAAAACTGTGGTGGCGCACACGTTCAGAGGACAAGTCTCGTCCTCAAATCACTACTTAGAATGCACTATACACTGAAATGAAGGGGTAGTTCCTTCCAAGCAACTCAGCTTGATGGGTCCGTGATGTTTTGCTCAAACTCAGACATACATGCATGATTCTTGAATATGTGAAATAATTCTCCTCCCTTATGCTTGACATCAAAAACACGTTCGTGGAAGCCAAGCTTTTCAACTTCATGTCTGGGCTTCAAACTTAGGCATAAGTTAAAGTACATCGACAAGGGGTAAAGGATATACATTATGCTATGACTACAACAGATGCTTTGGTGGACTACAAATCACACGTCAACCCTTCAGACAAGGAGTCTAAAGGGATGACCAAGTTCCAAAAGAAGGATCATAAGAAGAAGAAGGCCGACAAGTCCACCACTACAGATAGTCTTAGGTTGGAATTCCTTACAAGGGCTAAAGTTTTTGTGATTTTACACTTGCACGGGTTGTTTGTTATGACATACCCGGTCCCTACTTTGTAACTCCTCATCAAAGCCAAGAATTCGGGGGAAATGGTTTTTGCTTTAAAGTTAATGATGGGTTGCAAAAGGGAGAGGCAACAAACTGGTTGTGCTGATTGAAGATGAGGATCTCAAAGCCTTGCAAGTCCTTGAATTGGTACAATTGTTGTTGGCAGAAATTAAGGATGTGGCACCCAACGAACTGCCACCCAAATTGCCATTGAGACGGGATATTGATCAGGCAATTGAGTTGATTCTAGGGGCAAAACCCCCTGCCTATGCACCTTATCGGATGTCTCTATTAGAATTGGCGAAGTTAAGCATGCAGCTTGCTGACTTGTTGAAGATGTGATTCATCTAGCCTTTAAAGGTTTCAACACTATGCTGAAGGATGGTCCATATGAGCCCTTGTCTTGTTTCAAAAGAAGAAGGATAGTTCCTTGAGATTTTGCGTTTTGGTTATTGGGCCCTTAACAAGCTCACAATTAAAAAAATTATCTAGTTCCATTCGTTGATGAGTTGTTTGATCGATTGGGAAATGCGGTTTA